TACCTCCGCAGCAGCAGCAACATGGTCGGCAACAGGTACAACACCTTGTGCAGCAACAGGTTCGACAGCAGGTACAGCAGCAGCTGAAGGAGGTGAGGATAAAATGAGCGTAAAGCAGTGAAGCGAGCTACTTTGTGAATGCAACCTTACCGTGGCCTACAACAACAACAGCCACATCCACAACCGCAGCCGCAGCCGCCTCCTTGTCTCTTCACTCGAAGGGAAGATTCCGATTCGGTCAGGGTGTTGATTGCTGTGGTGTTTGTAGAGGCAAGTTCTGTTGTAGAAAAGAGAGAGACTTCGGCATCATTTCCTGGGATCGGAAGAGCCTGAAGTGATATTGGTGATGAGGAAGCCTTGTAAGGAGACAGGTGTGACTCTCTAAGGCATTTTTTTCATTCAGATGGCTAGAAAAAAGTGATTATATTCCATGGTGAGAGCGCAGTTAGAAGGGTTTGAACGTTGGGGAAAGGTTTTACATCCTGTTGTGGACAATTTTTATCAGAAATGCTGAATTTACCTGTATCTGCCCTAAATAGAGTATTCCCACGAGGGAGAAGAGTAGAGCTGTTGTTGCGGAAAAAGCCATTGCTAGTGCTGCTGCAGTCGAGCTGATGAGGTTTCATGGAAAATCGTCGGTTATTTATACGATATGGCCAGATATCGGCGTCGTAGCATCGCCCAAGCTATTTCGCGCAATCAGACCGGACTCCATGCCAGCGTAGTGTTTGGCCGCATGTCATCTACGGCTGCGTACGTCGCCGTCATCGGCTACTTGCCGCGGTTCTGTCCGAAACACCGGAAACGTCGGCTGTCCACCAAAAATCACCAGACAAACAATCCGAAACTCCAGCGTGCTTCCTGGGCATTATAGCGGTCCTCTGTCATTACCATGGTAAGCGTTTTATGTGGCCGGCTCATAAGGCCAGCTCGTTTCACACGTGAGCGGCATATGTTATCCTCCAAAACAACGTGTTTCTGTGGAATAGGGAATATAAACATTTGCAGTTGGATAAGTGGGTAAGCCTACAATATAGTTCAAGCTTGTGCCCATGCTAACAAAAAGCTTCAGAGCCAGACTTTCTT